AATGAATTCCAATATCTAGATCTCAGTCCAGAAGTAGCCAAGGGTGTGAGGATCACTTTATGGACCATGGGTCTTGGAGAGCCTGAAAGAGATGGCATGCAGACTCAGCATTTTGACCAGAGCCAAGACTTCCCAGCTGAGAGTCACCGGGGCACAGAGCAGTGGAAACTCCCAAGCGTGCATACATGTGTGTGAGGATGTGTTATATGTGTATACACCACGGCAGTGCATGTGCGGCCACCAAAACTTTTGATCATGGCAAAACTTAATACATGCAGGTACACATGTACATAAAAAAGAACTGCACATGACAAAATGACGAATTTTGCATAAGCAAACGTGGACAAGCCCTGAAAATAGCTGCATGTGAAAAGCAAGTAGAGCCGAGGAAGCCCAGTAGCACGGTTCTTGCCAGGCATGTATAAGTCCCTGGGGTTGACCCTACACTGGGGGAAAAGCAATTTGTGCAAGATGAGTTGGCTATAAAACTAATGGTGGAAAGGTTTTTAGCCAAGTGGTAGCATGTGTGTGTGAGCATATTAGAACAGCGAAAGCATTCTCGGAGCTGAGAGTACATTGTGTCTGCTTATACTTCCATTGATATTTAAGCTTACCCGAGTTTCAGTGAACCTTGTACTGTGTAGGGAAGACAGTCGTTTGGGGAAAACTAGCATCTTTCAAATGGTCTCTTTTCTTAGAAAATGGACTAATGTTCCCTTTATTATGTCATTTCCATTTGGTCCGTGTTGAGCAACTTGTGGGGTGACTTTTCCCCTTTGCTAATGACCTGAGTGCTCACCGTGTGCTAAGTAAGTTCCCATGGTTTAGGGTAAGTACTTTCTCCAGGTGTGGTCCTATCAGAGTTGAGTTTTGGGTATTTGTGTGAAGGTTTGCTGTGTTAGTGGATCCATCTTAGCTGGTCTCCCCAGGGATCCCAGAGGAGAGAGGGAGACAACTGAATCCCTGTGCTGGAGGACTTGGCTTGTGTGAGTCTATGTTCTCCACATCTCTCATAGTTGTCCATGTATCCCTGTTGTCCCTGGCACTCCGCACTGTTTGGAATAGGTGATAACTTCAGACACATGGAGGCAGTGGGGACAGCTTGGCCACTGGTAGCCATAGAAACCAGCCATCTTATTGACACTGACTTGGGGACATTTAGCAAGCCGAGAGTAATGCAGTGTGACTCCGCAGAGCGTGGTGGTCTGGGATATTGAGGATGCCTTTTCCCCTTGTTTGCAGGAAGATGCTGAAGCTCTGTGGAGAGACGGAGGACAAGCTAGCTCAGGAGCTGATCCACTTTGAGTTGCAAGTGGAGAGGGATGTGATCGAGCCCCTGTTCCTGCTAGCAGAGGTGAGACACCAATCGAGGCTGGGCCTAGGACAGAAAGAGTTCTACTTCCGGCCTTCCCCTGTTTCCTGCCCTCTCCTCAGTGGCTGACGCTGTATTCCTTCAGGAAGTGTCATGACCACACCATGGTCAAGATCTCCAAGTATGGTGGCTCTTTCGGCTTCTTCCCCTCCCCCACTGCCTTCTCTGTTCTCTTTTGGAAGGATAAACTTATAGAACCAGCAGCATTACCTCCATCTCCAACCCAAGTCCGAATTCCATCATCCCAATCCCTCTCAGCATCCCCTAGCCGCCCATCTGCAGTCTTCAGTAACTAGTGGCATACATAGCCGCTTCCTCCTGAGGAGTCTAGGGAACTGATGCAAGAGCATCTTAAGGTCTCTTTGTTTGATGTCCTTTTCTTCCTGGAGTTTACAAAATACTAAATTAAACCACATTATTGAAAAGCTATCTTACTGTCTGTGTGGCAGTTTTCCTAATTCCCTCCTTGTGCAGCTTTATCAAGTGGCACAAGAAATGTCCGGGATCTTTATGGGCCTTTCCCTATGGCTCCCTCAGTTGTATTTCGCTGGCCACAAAAAAGCAATAGTTGCTCTGTGTGGGAGATCCCAACAATGATGGAGCGTTCTGCACCTGTGATGTACAGTAGCCCTTAGCCTTCTTCCACCGTGATACACATGGAATGTGCAACTTGGGGGACTCAGATTCAATAGTATTTAACTTCTGCTCTTTTAAATTAAAAATGACATCACCCCACATGACTTGAAATTTCAGAAGCTTTGTAATATTGCCCAGTTCACATCTGGTTTGATCTCTAGATCATCTTCCTTGTGTCCCTGTCTCTCTGTATTCTTTCTGAGACTAAACTACGAATTAAAAAATTACTTAAGTAATTAAAGGTGATCAAAGAGCAAATTGACATCTCAGCAAAGAGCAGCTGTAAACCGTTGCTTCCCACACTGTGCATGGAGTCAAATAACTGTTGCCCTCAGTCCTGTCTTCCCCTAGCCAGGAACACTCCTGAGAGGCACATGCTCCTCAGAAAAGGTGGCTGGAGCTCTGGCCAAAGCCTGAAACAGCCCCAGAAGTGAGGGGGATGCAGCAGCGTATCCCCTGCTCCTTTCCGACTTGAGCAGTCCTGTGACTCCCCAGCGCAGCCCCAGGTTCGGCGGCCCCAGGCTCGGCGGCCCCAGGCTTGGCGGCCCCAGGCTCGGCAGCCCCAGGCTCGGCGGGTGCCGACAGGGCAGCTTGCTGCTGGAGCCAGTGCACTCAGCACAGCCCTCAGCCTGGCTTAGCTGAGTGGGTGGAAAGTGCCTCACGGAGCACTAGGTTTTTCTCACATTTTCCCCTTGTGTTTAAAAAAAATAAAAAAAAAAAAAAAAACCAGCCCCAAGATGATTTTTAGTTCAATTCATAGCCAATTTTCCTTTTTAATTCTCACATCCTGCCCTACTTTTGCTGGGCCTGGAACCAAAATCCTGCACTGGAATCTTCAAGGAAGTCATTTTTAGAAAGAAAAATAAAAAAGAGCATCCACATACAACCAATATGGAAGAAGTCCTTGTGGAGAATTCCGTGGAGGCCGAGTTATTCAGTGCTGACTGTGGGAAATCTTGCTTTCTTTCTGTAAATATGCCAACACAACTCCTTTGTTTCTCTAAATATAAACTGTATATCCTAGTGGCAGCCCTTATCATCTCGGGCCTGCGAAGGCCATGGCGTGTCTGAGCTCAGCTGTTCACTGAGTTAGGTCTGATAGCACCTAAATGGCTATACTCACTTCCTTTCTGCTTTTGGCCATTGTTGGAAGTAGACAGAGAAGCCACTGGGTCTGTTGTTGTTACTTTTTTCTTGTTACTTGTTTGCTTCTGGTTTGACTAAGAGCAGGAGTATGGCCAACCCCGGCCACACTGGTCAAGGGTACACAGTTCCATGTATGCAAGATGAGAAATGCAGCGGTCTAGAAATGCAGTGGGCAGCATGGGGTGGCTGTATTGCATCCTTGGAATTCAAGTGACAACGAATCTCAGGTGGATTTTCACACACACACACATACACGCACACACAGGGGAAGGAGAGGGAGGAAAGCAGCAGATGATAAACCCAGTAGCTTGACATCAAACTTGATGTGAAGCATAATTCCTCTTTGTTGAGGATTAGACCCAAGTCAGTGACAAAGGAGAAAACAAAGACCGGGAGACCTGTAGCCCACCTTCAGGTGACTTCCAGTCATTCTTCAAGCATTCTTTGAGAGCCTAGCTCTTCAAGTGTTAACCTTGGCCTTGGGTTTGACTGTGTCTCTCCTCTTCTGGAACCACAGGTGGAAATTCCAAATATCCAGAAGCAAAGGAAACACTTAGCAAAGCTGGTGCTCGACATGGATTCTTCACGGACCAGGTAGAGCGTCCTCGCGGCCTTCTTAGCTTCTCTGGCAGGACATTTGGGGGTGGGGCCAGGTTTGTGTGGGGACGGGAGAGGTTCTCATTCATCAAGTTTTTAATAGCTTCTGTGCACCAAGCAAGGGAGGTAACAGCAATGACCAGAAACATGGGTCCCCTGCCTTTCTGGAGGCTGCAGTTGAGTTTGAAGGTAGATCCCGGGCAAGAGGACGATTTTAGGCAGCCATGTGTTTAAGAAAAAAAAAAATGCACTGGGTGCTTTTGGAAAGGAGGAAGAGTTATCAACATCAGATGGGGGAAAACAGAAGAATGCTTTTAGAGTAGGTGCTCCTTGGTCTGAGTCCTGGTACAGCCAGGAGGAAGTAGTAATACAGAGATGGGAGGCAAACTGTCCGGGCAGAGGGAGACAGTGCACAGGCCCCGTGGTACTGTATTTGGGGTTCAGGAAGAAGGTTCCTGACTTGGGGAAGAGTGGACATGAGAATGAAGAGATGGGACAGAGATATGTTCGGTGTACAGCAAGGAGAGCATTTCTAACTCTGGACATGTGTCACCTTCCTGAAGTGGCTGATGTAGACTGAGGGTCCCTGCGGGAGTCCTTCGGGGAAGTTCCTCCAAGGCTGTTCTGTACTCAGAGACTACAAACTTTCTGCAGTTTCAGCAGCCCTTGCCAGAGGCCCTGATGTTGACTGCGGCCGTCACATGTGGACACGCTACATGTTTGCCTTCTATCTTTACAGTGCTTTGTGTGTGTGTGTGTGTGTGTGTGTGTGTGTGCATGTATGTGTGTGTGTGTGTGTGTGCATGTATGTGTGTGTGTTGAAAGTTCACACACACTGATGTGGAAAGAATTATTTGTTTCTACTCTAAGTCTTTTGTTTTTCATAATTTAGTCATAATCAGCTCATCTTATTTCACTTTCATGAAATAAGAAGACCAGAGAGCTCTTGGGCAGAGAGATTTAGGATTAAGAGCCCACAGTAGGATATAGAAGTCAGGAAACAAGATCCTGGGATGCTCGTTTGCAGACCTGAGGCCTTGGCAAAGTCCGGCCCGTGTACAGCGGGCAGCAGTCACTGACCTCCGCAGAGGCATTGTGAACATAAAGTAAGGTAACGTATGTGGACATAACATAAAGTGCGCTCCTGCACTTCCCACGTGCTTTTCAACACAAAGCCCATGCTGCAGCATATATGGGGGAGGGGTCTACCGCTGATGCACGTGGTCGCCCCTGACCAGAAACAGCACAGCTTAAACCAGCAGAGAACTTTCTTTAGACTGAGTACCAAGCCTCAGTCCCCCTCAGCCCCCGGATGACTTTTTCAGAATATGTTTTAGGAAGAAATTTCACAGCAGGAGTGTAAGTTGGAAGCTAATGCCTTTTGCTGCGAATAATCAGGTGAGCTTAGAAGCAAATGGCTGGAAATGAATTCAGTATCGTTGGCATCTGTCTGCTCTTGGCTGTGGAAGACTGTGAAAGACACCTCCCTTCCTGGGAGACCGTGGTGGGTGGAATGGGAGGTGTCTCCCATGCAGTCGGGTGTTGGCATACTTGGTCTTCACTTGGTTTCTCTGCTTAGGGAGGTAATGGAGCCTCTGGGCAATGGAGCCTGGCTCCAGGCAGCACATTGCGGAGGGCGGCAGACTTGGACTTTACAGCCTCTCCCCGCTCCTGGTGTGCTTTCTACATGTGGTTGGAGATGTGGCTTCTTGGTTTCCTGCTCAGTCAGTGCCATGCCTCCCTGCCGTTATGGACTGTCCCTTGGAAACTGTGAGCCAAAACAGACGTTTACTTATATAAGTCATTTTTGATGATATTTTATCAAGCAACTGAAAGCAATTAATACAAAAGGTCAGTGGCATAATGCAGATATGACTCTGAGGCTGTCTCCATGCTGTGCACTCAGGAACAGAGAGCAGGGTGCATGAGGAGTTTGGGTTTGCTGTTACCTATGACGGCCCTATGCTGCATAAAATGGCATCTGTCGTATGAAACGATTAATATTTACTATTGGTTTATCTTTTATTAACGCTTTTATAAACAGCTGTATAACCAAATCACCACACAGAGACTGGATTTATTTAGTTAACCAGAACACAATGCTGGGCAATAGTTACTCCATCCTAAACCTCCAAGCCCTCCTAGTTTCCTAACATTTAGATTTTACCCATTATACTTGCTTTTTGTGAAATCTCAGGTCTGGTTCATTCACCATGTCGTTCCAAGACCTCTCCTCCAGCCTCGCTCTCCCAACTCTCTCCTGTCCTTCTCTCCTCCTCTGCCTCCCACACCTTCCTGTCCTCTGGCTCCTCCCTCTCTTCCTGCTTCCTTTCCATTGCTCAACATTGTAGCTGGTTGCTTTATTTTGGCATGTTTACACAAAGTTGAGACAGGTGATGCTTAGAATAAGTATCACAATGCAATGTCAGGATTGAAACCAGAGAGTAGGGGAGAGAAATCAGCATTTGAATGAACAAGGGTAAAGTGTATACATTCCAAAAGAACATTATACCAACAGGCATCCCATGGCAGAAGTGTTCAGGTGTCAAGTTAGAGTCACGTGAATTGAGTGAAGTAGTGTTGACTTCTCTCTGCTGTGATGAGGTGGACACCATGTCCCTGGGTTTTGGGGTTTCATATCTTTCTTTAAAACCCTGGGATTCACCCCAGGGTTGTCTTTGCTTCTACAAGGAAAGTGTAGGTGTTCTGTATAACGTTGAATGTCACCATGGAACCAGGTCATTGTCATCTCACACTTTGTTGTTTAGTCTTTTTATGAGAAAGGGAGCAACCACTGAGGCATGGCCGAGGCTGGTCTTGTTCCGTGTTAAGCAATGTGTACTTTCTGAAAGCCCCAGGAAGTGTCAGTAGCCTCTCATCCATGATTGGCACAGTTTCACACCTCAGCTCACCCTGTTGCTGATTTGAATGCACAAGGAAATCTGTAACTCCGCATTTCCAATTTCTGTGCTTACAGATTTAAGCTTGAACCCTATATTAGTCATTTTCTCATCCGCTGTCAGCGACACCTGGCAGAAGGATCGTAAGGGGTGGGGGTACTTTGGCTCACAGTTCAGGGAGCACAGTCCGCCATGGTGGGAAGGTGTGGTGGCTAGACCAGGTGGCAGCTGAGGGGGTAGGGTTTTGAGGCAGCTGGGCACATCACAGAGTATCAGGAAGCCGACTTGGCTAGAGGGGAGGTCCAATCCATTTCTATCCCTGCCTTCACAGTCTGCCAGCTTGACCCCACGTCCACAGGATTCCACAATCTCCCAAAACAGCGCCACCAGCTGGGGACCAACTGTACAAACATAGGAGCCTGCAGAGGACATCCTGCCTTCCAACCACAGCAAACGAACCTGCTGCCACCTTTGTATTTTAGACAAAAACAAAGTAAGACAGAACAAAAACAAAATGGACCTTTTAGACCATCCTCTTATAAGTGCAATTTATCTTCTTTATCTCATTAGTGGCTTTCTGTCGCCTACTTTGTGTTGTGAGTGAGGGGATAGAAGGTCGCTTGGCCGGTATGTAGGTAGCTTAGGCCCCTCTATCTCTGCTGGCTTTAGTCACTAATGAGTTGGCTGCCCCAAACCCTCAGGTCACCCACTCTCCAGTCAATTCAGGTGATGGTCTTCAGGGTGGAAGTGACACCCCCAGCAACGGTCCTTGCTCCTTGATTCTGAGTGGCTGTGTGTAGCCTGGGCTTATCTGCCCTGTAGGACATTGCTGAAAGCCACAACAAGCAGCCAGCCAACTTCTGCTTCGTGCCATTTCCCTTCAAGCTACACTCTTAGTCAGCGAGGAGCAGCTGTCAGGACAGAGCCATGAAATTCACACTGAATTCCAGGGTAATATTGAATAGCAGGAATCGCAAGCTTCTCTCCTGAGGCTGCTGGTTCTCAGTATTCCTACCCCCCCCCCACTATATTTCTCCATTCAGCTGCATTTGTTAGGTCCTAATTGTGATGACCCATGTCTGGCTGTCAAGGCTCTCTTCAGTCCTGTCTGCTGCCTGTGCCCTATAAGATCCCTCAGTGCGTCCACATGGAGCCCCCTCCAAAGTCATTTTCACCTCTCTTCACGCAGCACATCCTAATCAATACTTCCGTGGCGAGGTCTTTGAATTTTAGCACAACTCTGGTGAATCTGTCAGACCCATCCTATTTATTCAGTGTTTAATGAGGGTTGAATCGAGCACATGCATTTGTCACTGGTTAAGTAATCCCATCCCGTCAGCTTCAAGTCAATGAAATGGATATAAATTCAGTGAGAGGAAACTGGTGTGAGCATTGAGATATGACCTATAGTCCTCTGATAGAGGAGTCGGCCCTCTCAGCCCCTCAGCCTTCTCTCCACCCCACCCACTTTTCAAAGCTTCTATTAGTTGGTTCTTCTTAGGTAGCCCAGTCAGACGGTGGCTATATTTTGATCCTGTAATCAACATGGAGGTGTATTTGCTGTCTCATATAAATTACAGCTGTGATGTTCCATATTTTGTGTGTCCCAAATCCCTCAGTACTTTAATGTTTTTTATTTAAATAGTTGACTCTGGATGGTTCCAGCCAACCCACAAATGGATCCTTTGGGTAGAGCACATCTCTACAGGAAGAGTCATTCAGGGTTTCCTGCTGAGCTCCTCTTACTGTTTCAGCTTAAAGAAATTGCTTAAAATACTGGTTTTCAAATTTCTCTAAATTCGTATCTCTGAACCAGCATGGTTCTCAGGACTTGTGTCTTCCCTGTAGTCTGTAACCAGCACAAGGTCTGAGAGCCTTTGTACAATGGTTTCCCACATTGCGTTCTAAAAGCCCGAGAACCCTTCCTTCATGACTTTCTGCTATTAATGCCCCTCTTGAATCCTACAGCCCCACATCCTTATGTTGTTATTGTTATTTTTTTCCTGCAGATAACAAGAGAAAGAGAACTCCAGCAGAACTACCAATTAGCTAGCTGCTGATTTTTGAATCATAACTAGGAAGGGGAGGATGTTGTCCTGGTATTTGTGCCTCTCAATTGCCAGGCTGCCGACATGATCTGGGGGTTGAGGGGAAGTCTTCATTTGGTCTGTACTTATATTATATTGAAAAGAAACTGTTTCATCCTGTCACAGTTCTTCAGAGAGACCTCCCAGGAGGATTTCTCAGTTCTCTTGTCAGCTAAAACACCTGGCAACCAGGCCACCCATTCCTACCTGAGCTCCATCAGACCATCTTGGGCAGGCAACCCCCCACCCATTTCTCCCACCACTCATCCTCCTGACTTTCCAGACTGCCATTTATCATCCTGACTGCCCTGCTGTGCTTCTCACAGGCTAGAAATAGCTCTGACTCTCCTGGCAAAGATAAAAGAGCCAGTGGGCGAGTTAAGATAATGGACTGTTCCTGTCCTTCCTCCCACCTGCTGGTCCCTATGAGCCGGTGAGGTCTCAGGCTCAGCAGAAGAGAAGCCCTGCCGAGCCCTTTCTTCTTGTAGGCCCATTCTGTTCCTTCCCTTCTCCCCTGATGGGGACTCAAGCAACCAGACAGAAGTGTTACCATTTCTCCGTCTGTGCTTCCTAAGTGTTTTCCTCAAGAGGCCAGGATTCTCCCTGCAAAGATGAATCTTTATGTCACTGTGATGCTGTTCCGGGCTTACCAGCTCAGACTTTCACCTTTGGATTGGCCTTTAATTCCATCAGTGTTTCCTTTAATCCCACCAGTGTTTCCCTTTCACCTTGCTTCGATTATTGGCTTCAGCTACACAGGTGCATTTCCAAACAAAGGAGGCGATGAGGAACTTAAATGAATGACAGCAGCCACACTGAAAGGCAGTACTGGTAACTTTGAAATAGGGAGTGCATTGCTATTAAGTAGGGTGAGCCTGATTACGTGTCAAATATCTCCTAGCAAGAAACTGAGTGAGGTGGTAGGTATGTTAACTGGTTTGATTTCATCGCCCTGCACAGGTCACACTGCTCCGTAAATGTCAACAGTTGTGATTTGTCAGTGAAAAGAGGACAGCAGTGGGGACTGTCATTTGGCTTTAGTGTGTAGAAGGTCATAGAGGACACAGTGGGGAGCTGTAGGATGCTGGTCCTGTGGGTAGGGTGGCCTGATCCTCAGTTTCACCCAGTTCTGCTGGGGAAAGGTGAGCTTCTCTCCTGGTGTGGCACTGGTATCTCCTGGTCATTCCTCCTGGCTAACAAGCCAGGGGTTTCCTCAGCACTCTGTCATGCCCACAGGGCTCCACCTGACTCCTGCTCATCTTTTTCTCTCTTGTTTCCCATCAGGTGGCAGCAGACTTCCAAGTCTTCAGGGCTTTCCAGCAGCCTTCAGCCTGCGGGTGCCAAAGCCGATGCCCTCAGGGAGGAGATGGAGGAGGCTGCCAACAGAGTGGAGATTTGCCGGGTACTTGTTCTCCTTGCTCTTCTCTCCTGGGACAGGCTGAGGAGTCCTCAGGGATTGTCTGTGATGTTCAGTGGAGTTTTCTTAACGCTGGGCTGGAGATGCTTCAGTTAATCAAAATGTCCCTATCACCTATTCTTATCTTCAAAGAGTCTGAGATGAGCTCAGGACTCAGGGCTGTGAGGGCGACTAGAACATGGAAGCACAGACTGTCTGTAGGGAAACCTCATGCCGTAAGCAAAGAGTACATGACATTCATTTTTGTGGAGAGCTTTAGGACAACTGAGTTCCAAGGAATACATTGTAGGCCCCAGGGTCAGGGAAGAGTTTAGACTAAGCCTCAAGTCCTGTGATTATTATAATGTTTACCTATTGGGAGGCATTTCAAGTGTTAGCTGTGGAGATCACCAAAGAAAACATTTCCCTTTTTAAGAGAGAGACAGAAGCTAATTCTACGAGCAGGGATCCTGTACTTGTGGGATGATGTCCTTCACTGCATACATTACTGCTCCCATCTACTATACCCCCACACTGTGTAAGACATAAATGCACATTCAGAGTGCTGTTGTGTGTCTGTACATCTCTGTACATGCCTTTGTGTCACTTTGGCTCCCTAAGAAAGCTTAACCCGTGTAAACTATATTTAGATCCAAATATTAGGAAACTCGCTCCTACAAACACATGGTGTTCCTATTGTGTATAAGCTGTGTGTGTGTGTGTGTGTGTGTGTGTGTGTGTGTGTGTGTGTGTGTACACGTGGTCATGTGCACACGGGGTAGCAAATGCAGGGCTTGGTCATGCCAGGCAAGCAGTCCGCCACTGAGCCGTGTCCTCAGCCTCCCCATGCAGCTTTAGAGAAAGCGCTGCTTGCTTGCAGATATCTGTTCTTTGTGGCTTTCTTACCTCATCCATGATTTTTACAGCCACTGTGCGGGTGGCGGCAACCTTGCTTTCACACGAAACTCAGAATTTCTCTTTGGGATTAGACAAGTTGAAGGGTTTTGTTTTGTTTTGGTTTGGTTTTGGTTTTTTAAGAATCCTCTGTCTCCCAGGCTGCCATCCTGTGAAAACCAAGCAGAGAAATACGAATGCTTCAGATCCCAGATTCATTGGCTGAGGCAGACTGGCCATTTATGCTTCTAGGTCAATGGCAAATGCCAAGCTAGTGTGCCATTTCTGAAGTGTAATTCTCTCTCCTGCTGATCTGGACATGATCTGTACCTTATCTATTGTATATCCACTTATCTAGCTCAACATCTTTTTTTTTTTTTTTTTTTTTGAGGGTGGGTTGGGGGTGGGGGATTATAACAGTCATTTTTACGACTTTTACCAAATGCTCTAAGAATAGGTTAAAATAATTAGAAAAATCCATCCCGCAAGTCAAGGTCATACACACAATTGAGTTTAATGTATATTGATTATATGTATGAGCACACAATGTATGACATGCACAGATGTGGAGGGGGTCAGATTCCCAGGTAGGATGAAAAAGATGCAAGGTGAGATGGGAAAAATTGAAGAAGCAACTCCAGCATGGAACTGTTCTTAGTCAAAAGCAGAGTCTACCTTGTAGGAGACTTAGTCGGTAATACAAAGAAATACCGGAGGATTTCTTACAGAATGTTAGGGAAAGACACAGACAGGAACAGGTCTGGAGAAATTATGATATGTCGCGACCGGCCTTTGCCGATAAGGACGATGCAACAACCGAGGATTTCTTCAGCGGCAAGTTTATTGTTACAGCTCTTTTAGCAGATGTTACAGCTCTTTTAGCAGATGGTGAAGGACCCAAACCCCTGGCAGCGCCCCGTTTAAATAGCCAGCAAGGCGACCTGTCCGTCTGTAAGTGGTGTTCTGCTCGAGTCCTCATCAGTATATGGCTGGCAATTGGATTGCAGCC